GGATTATCTCATTTCATCCTCACAACAACTCTATGAATTAAATACTGTTATTATCCAATTTGATATATGTGTAAACTGGGACTCAGAGAGATTGAATCACACATAACTGGCAGCCAGAAATTGAACTCAATGTCTGTTTTATTCCAAAATCCATACTCTTAACCACTATGTTAAACAACCTTTTGAAAATTGAAATAAAAATATATAGAAAGAAATAGACCAAGCTTTAAGCAGTCATTTTCTTTAGGAACTTATGGTTGAATGCTATTGGCTACAAGAGCCAGGAAAACGGGGGAGGAAAACAAAATCAAGGGGTACGTTAATAGACTGGCAATGGGGACTGGTTGATTGCCTAAAACGTCCTAAAGACATTTAAAGGCAGGGCTCATAGGAGACAGTGAGCAACCAGAACTTATAATCAGAACTCTAGAGGCTGTATAAAATTTGGTAATGCTTCAAGATAGGGACATGTGTGTATTTTACTGATGTGAAGTAAGACTCAAGGTCATTGGATTAAAGTAGAGCAAGAAAACAATCATTCATTCAAGTATGTATAGATTATTCAAGCACCTAACTTGCAACAAGTTGGAGAAATACTGGTGAACAAGATGAGTAAGATTCCTGCTTTTGTAGACCTCAGAGTTGGAGAGGTAGACCCAGGCCAGATCATGCAGGGCCTTATAGCCATGTTAAGAAATGTAGGGTTTATTTGGATTTTGTTCTAAATGTGACAATAAACCACCAGTGAGTTTTAAGCAGAGGAATTACTTGATCTGACTTATGTTGTAAAAAGATCACTCTGGCTGTTATGTTGAGAATGTATCATGGGAATGGGAACAAGGAGTAGGGAGACTAGTTAGGAAGATAATGAAGTAGTTCAGGTAAGAGTTGATAGTGGCCTGGACAAACGTGATATCAGTGGAGATGGAGAAAAAATGGCAGACACATATATACACATATATATATGCACAGATTATATATATATATGCACAGATTATATATATATATATATTTGAGACAGGGTCTTGCTCTGTCACCCAGGCTGGAGTCCAGTGGTGTGATCAGAGCTCACTGAAGTGATCCTCCCACCTCACCCTCCCTTGTAGCTGGGACTACAGGCATGTGCTACCATGCTGGGCTAATTTTTTTTTTTTAGTAGAGATGGAGTCTCACTATGTTGCCCAGGGTCAGACACATATTTTGAAGTTAGAGTTGACAGTGCTAGATGATGGATTTGATATGAGAAGTGAGGGGGAGTGAGGACTTAAGAATAACTCCCAATTTCTGTGAACGGTGGTGTCAGGTGGTGTCATTTATAGAGCTGAGGAAGACTGGGGTGGTTGGAGCACATTTTGATAGACAATGATTTTAGTATTGGATATGTTGAGTTTGAGAAATTTGTGGCTGTGTTTAGTAGGCAAGTTGGCTGTATTGGTATAACGTGCAGAAAAGTGAGCTAGAGTTCCTGATTTTGGAATCAGCAATGCAAAGATGGTAACTGAAGTCACAAGAGTAGGTAAGATTGTCTAGGGAGAGGAGAGGATAGAGAGAAGAAAGAGAGAAGAGAATTGGTCCTCTGACAGAACTGAGAACACCAAGTTCCTGAGAGGCTTGATATAGGCAGCAATCATCCCACCAATACTGTACTGGCAAAGGCCACTCATGACTTCCTGTTCTCTCAAATCCTGGGGATTCATTTTAGTTTTTATCTTTCTGAATCCGCTGCTGCATTTTGATACTACTGTTCATGCCATCCTGTAAAACTATACTCTCCAGGATTTCATTGTCTCCTTGTACGTTTCCTTTCCCTTTTCTGTGTGCCCTACACTTTATTGTTACCCAGGGAAGACTAAAGAGTAAGACTCTAGGTTGAGCTGTCAGCAATGACTTTTGGAGCCACGTCTTCCCTAGGATGAGGAAACTGCTTCCAACTCTTGGAAGCTGCTGGCTCCAGAACTTGATGAAGGTGAGAGAGCAATCCATGCAGATATCTCAGGAAAAAGAATTCTAGACAGAGGGAAAAGGAAATACAAAGTCCCTGAGGTGGGAATGTGCTTAGTGTGTTTGAAGAACAGGAAAGGAACCCATGCAACTGGAGTAAAATAAAGAGGGTTACAGAGGTGATGAGATGGAGATAGATAGAATTTATTTCCAAGGGTTCTTCTGCAGGCCATTGGAAGGACTTTGGGTTTTAAGCTGAGTAAAATGTGTAACCACTGGAGAATTATGAGGAGATGATTGCTTATAACTAATGTTTTATCAGGCTCCTTCTAGCTGCTATGTAGAGAATAGACTGCAAGCATGGCAGGGGTGGGGAAGGGGAGATGACAAGAGTGGCAGCAGGGAGACCAGCTATCACAATAATTCAGAAAAATGATAGTGGACAGCACCAGTGCGTTAGCATTGAGAATGGTGAAAAGCTGTCATATTCTGGTTATACTTTTAAGGTAGAGCCAGCATAATTTCCCGATAGATCAGATGTGGACTATGAAAGAAAGGAGTCAAGGGTGATACCAAGATTTTTGGCAAAGGTAGATGAAAGGACAAAGTTGCCATTTACTGAGGAGGGGAAGACTATGAGAGGGACATATTTGGGGAGGAAGATTAGGAGCCTGATTTGGGACATGTTAAATTTGTGATGCCTGATAGACATTCAAGTGGGGATGTCAGGCAAGCAGTTGGTTATAAGGGTCTGGAGTCCATGGGAAATAGACAAGTTGAAGATAAAAATCCAGGACTCATTGGCTTATAGATTTAATTTATAGCCATGGGACTGAATGAAGCCACCAAGAGAATTAATATAAATGAAGAAAAAATGATCAAGCCCTGGGGAGCATTTTAAGACGGGGATATTACATTGTTGTTTTTTTCCTTTCTTCTTTCCTTGTTCTCCCCTTCCCTCCCTTCCATTCCCTCTTAACTATAAAAGTGATAAAGCTGTACAGAACTTAGCCTACCTATCTATATGCCCAGACTCAGAATCTATTATCTTTCCTTTTTTTCTTACCCTCCCCCCACCCACATGTGTACTATCAGTCCACCAGGGAAATGTGCTAAACTATTGTGTTCTTATGTTGGTGCCACACTGTAAGTGATCCTGGCATAAAAAGTATGCCGTAGTAGGATTTGAAAAAGCTGAGGTAACTTAGCCTGGAAAAAAGACGACTTTCCAGGGAATATAATAGTTGTAATCAACTACCTGGCAACAGAATTAAGACTCTTGATTTAAAATCACCACGATGAAGATTTAGGCTTGACGGAACCAACTTTTCTCAAAGTTGCCTAGGCTCACCAGGAAGTACTGAGGTCCCAGTGACTTTTGATATAATGATCAGATAACTTTCAAAAATCATTCTCTTTCTGACTTTAAGATAATGGTGAATACGATTGTGTATGGTATATGTTACATCTTATTGATATCCTTGGTAGTAGAGTTGCTACACTGTAGTAACAGATTCTGGAAATAGCTATAACACACACTTGGAATCTCACAGTCACATAATCAATCATTTTACTAAATACAAGCATATTTTCATTCACATACAGCTAAATAAAGCATTGTTCACATTTCATTACAGTGCACAACAAAGTGAGGAAAAGTATACAGTACATTTTATTCTGAAATATGAGACAATCTAATCCAACATGCAGTTGTGGTCTTTGTTACAAGTTAGTTTATCTTTTCTTTACCTATGTAGTAAAATAGCTTCTAAAGCTTTATCCTTAGTATTATATTAACACCTGATTTTTTTCACACTTATTTTCTAAAACCCACTTATTGCAGTGACAACGGTACTGAATTCTACTAAAATGATTTTTAAATTTTCTAGAACTTATTTAAGCAATTAAGCTCAGCCACCTCTGCTGGATTTATGCTGAATATTTTTAAACCTGCCAAAAAATGCCAGGAGTGGGAATAGTGTACATACAATAAATTTTAGTCAAGAAAATTGTAGAGAAGTTTTGTTTCTTTCCTTTTTTGAACTGACAGAATCCACTCAACTCTCATTTACCCACTGGATAATCTTGCTTTCAGAATCTTCTAAACATACTTAAGTATAGCAGTTGATGAAATTTTGTGTTAATCAAATTTGCCATGTTTTATTTGTCTTTTACAACCATAAAGGTGGCAATTTAATTACCCCACCTAAGCCAGCTCTTGTGAAATGAATATAGAGAAGGTGATCAGTTCACTTGTAATTAATGCTGTGAATTGATCCAAAGTGGTTTGCTCATCCAACTTGGGGCACAGGTGGCAGAACAGTCTTCCATAATTTTCATGATTTGGCTTCTTTATTCTGGCTGAAGCAAATTCCCAAACTTTCAGATTCAGTCACATTCATACAGAAGTTCAATATTATATCTCAAAGCGATTTGCCATTCTTAGGCCTTCCTATCACAATGGATATGAGAAACCTGACTCTAATCAGAATAGTTTTTTTTAATTGTGAAAAGTATGGCTTTTGCCTAGCTGAACTGGCTACAATCCAAAAAGTAATTTAAAGCATCACCTCTCTTCAAGAAAATAATGGAAACTTCAAGCCAGCCATTCCAATTTGCTGATGCAGTTAGCTGTTTGTTCACCTGAGAATTAAGGGCTGACTCTGTTGGGTAGACAGGAGCTCAGTGTACGTATACGGCAGACAGGTGGCCAAGGTCATTTTGGGGTGAGTATTTTATCCCTATCCCACTCCCCATTGCCATTGCTGTATGTGGTTCCTTTCAATAAAAATCCAGTGTCTCGGTGATAAGAGCACTTATAGCCCACACAGTTCTAATGTCTTTTTAGTTGTGCAATTATTCACTTGTTTTAAAGCCCTCTTGTCAATAATACCTGAATGGGCTTTACCTTTGTCCCTTTCCTAGTTATAGGGTAATTTGCACGGGACAATTTGTTTCATACAGCTGGTAATTTTACCACAAGAGTGTTCAAATGTGCTAATAACTGTGTAGATAGCCTTTCTTTCATATTCACATCATTTTTACTTGAACACCAGACCTTTTGGTCTATGTTCCTCATTTTACAGATGAGCTGTTAAAAGCTAATTGGTACCTTTTAACCAAACCCAGCAAACACCTTTGGTGCAGGGTATTCTCATGGAATAAGTAGAGCTCATAATCTTTGTCCCCAATGTGATACTTTTTTCCCCTTTATGTGTTTCTTTATGTTCATGGCCTATAAGTGAGCTCAAATACCAAGTAATAGTTGTCCTGTCTGTAGGTATGCTTTCCTGGGACTTAGCTTCCTAAACCCCAGGCCCTTAACATGTGGTCCACAAAGGGCTCATGGAGCAGCCACTGCCTAGCATGGGCCACAGTTCAGTCCCTTGGTCACAGCACTCAGGCACCCCCATCCACCCGCACATGAGTCTGTCAGAGTCCCCCTGAGAAGGAGGCTCACTTGGTATCCAAATGGAGGTTGAGTTCTCGTCAGTTACACAAAGATTCTATTTATTTCTCTTACTTTTCAGTTCAAGTAGGAGAGCATGTTTTGGAAATAAAAGAGCTGACTAGCACAAACATCTCCTCTCTGATTTGACAACCTCTTCTGAAGAGTGAACCACATTTGGTACAAATCCACTCTTCACCCCTTCCCAGCCCTCCTGGATTGTAATCTCCCCCCTTTTAACCAGCTCATATATGTCTCTTGTCAGGTCTGTGAAGGCTTTCTCCACATTAATGGCATCTCGGGCTGACGTTTCAATGTACTTCATGCCGTATGCAGCAGCCAGTTTCTCGGCCTCGTGGCGAGTCACTTGCCTCTGTGTATCCAGGTCACACTTGTGACCCACCAGAACAAATACAATTTGGTAGGGCTGAACGTGTACTTTGGTCTCTTCTAACCACTCATGGACATTCTGGAAGGACCTGCGGTTGGTAATGTCAAATAAGAGAAGACCACCTACTGAGTTCCTGTAGTAGGCGCGAGTGATGGATCTAAAACACAAGAAAGAAGTAAAGAATAAAGGCCGTGCCCAAACTTCTGCATGTCAATGAACTCAGTACATTCAAGTGTTCCTGGTTATTGACACAGTCCTTTGATAAAAGTGATTTTCTTTTTTTTTTAAACAAGGGAATACAAATGGCACTCAATAGTAATACTAATATGTGAGTTTCCAATTGGGCAAAACTTTGAGATGGGTATCTTCTAGAAATGAATGCTCATGAACTTTTAGGCATTTTCCATGGATTCAGCACTGGAGAGTGACCCTGGGACATAATTTAGTTCTATTTCTTGCCTTCAGGTAAAACTACAACTAACTCTCCCACCCCCCAAATCTGAATAACTGACAGAGACTTCCTTTTCTGCAAAATAGGATACCTAAGTCACAGTGTCACCATGAGGCAAAATGAAACAATGGATATTAAAGTGTTCTGTGACGTGGAGAGTTCATTACAAATGCTAGTAGTTGAAACAGGATTTTTAAAACATAGAAATGAATTTATGATAGTTAACAAAATATTTAAAGTAGGTATCTTGCTATATACTCCATTTTTTCCATTTATCATTACCATGTTTTTCTCTTTCCATTATTATTATTATTAATTATTATTATTATTAGCTAACAGGGATCCTCAATCTCTTCTGTGAGGAGAAACACAATTTTATTTTTTATTTTCCAGGCCTGTGGGAATGGAAAAAGAAAGATGGTGAAGGGTTCAGGCAAAGTGCCTCCCAGCCCTATTTCCTGACACATTTCAGAGAGGCCAACTCAGGAGCCATCAGATGAAACTTCACATGTTTTAACTTCTTGACTTGAGGAGCCTCATTATAAATATACATTATGGCACTTTGCTTACAGTGTATTAAAGCTTATTACAGGGTATAGACCTATTTGTCTCTGCAATCACTTGCTTTAGACTACTGTGATTTTTAAAATCTATGTCTATTTTTAGGTTTTCTGTCTCCTCAGATAAAGAAGATAGACAATGAAGGACTCAATAGCTTAGGGAAAATGGCCCAGTGTTAACAGAACAAGCATTGTCCAGGGACCTACAGTCCAAGCTAGATGATGGTAAAAGTAAAACTTACAAATGAGTTTAAGTCTCCAGAATCAGGCAAATCAGCCCTGGGGACTGAAAGCATTTCTTGTCTCTTAGGTTTGAATATTCATGGAGAATGGTAGATTTACCAGAAAATTAGACATGAACAAACAAAGGTTTTGATTTGTGAAAAGCTTGATTCAAGAAATCAATTGTTTGTGAGTACTTAGCAAAGAAAGTGACAAAGGCCTTCTAAGCATGGACATAAGGCTACATAAACCTTAAATTCCTCCCTACATTAAAAAATCTTAAATAATGTGAAAAGACAAATGATAAACTAGGAATATATGTTACAACATACATGACAGGAAAGCGTTAATATTCTTAATCTATAAAGTACTCTTACAAGTCCATACTGCCCAATAAATAATAAGCAGTGGATGTGAACAGGCTGTTCATATAGAAAGAAATTCCAACAAACGCATAAAAGATACCTTTCTTTGCTTAGGAGAAATGTAATCACAAGTTCAAAGTGAACCTGTACAAGGATATTTTCCACAGTGTTGTTTGTGGAAGTGAGGAGCTGGAGGCAACTTAAGTTTGTAATTATTTCTCCTTACCACTCTTCAATTATCCAACCCGTATCTTCTATGGTTAGTTAGTTTTCAATAGATAAATGAGCAAATGATCATAAACTTGGGCTATTGAGTTTTCTTGATCTGGTTCCTGCTGCTCTACTTTAGTTCAAATTGTTCCCTGCAAAGTTTTCTGTGTACACTCTGTTCCCTCTCACTTCTGTCTTTATTCATCCTGTTTCCTATCCCTGGGCGTTTCCTGTCTTTGCTTGGGCAGTCATACTCATCCGGTCTCATCTTCTCCAGTTAACCTTTCCTCCTCTGTGTTCATACATATAATTACAAATAATACATGCTACAAAAGAAAAGCAAAGGGTTTTGAGTGAAAGTAAACATATTCATTGATTATTCAATGAATTCATTGAAATTAAGCATATTCATTATGTGCCAAGTGTTACAGTAAGGAGTGGGCATACAAATATGAGCAAGACGCATTTTTGTAATTGCTGATTATCTATTATTTCCCTCAACTATGTTAGCACAGAAGTTCCAAGAGTGAAGGGGCTTTGTCTGTTTTGATTACATGGCATCCCCTTGTATGAGTTTCCTCACACTGTTTTCCCAGAAACAAGCCCGGAGTCTGGCACATAGTAGATGATCACTGAATGTGTGCTGGTTGCAAGAAGGAATCAATCTTATGTATTTCCTTTATGTTAGAACATATGTTAGCATATATATGTGCACACACAGATATGGAAATAAAACATAATACACATGTATTTATGTATCTAAATCTCTGTCAGTTATGTTAGGATGACCTGGGAACATTTTTGAAAGTAGGTAACATAGGGACTGAGATTGATGAATTACAGATACAGAAATCAATTCCAGCTAGTTTATTAGCCACCAAGGGGCAGGTTGGTGGAGTTGTGGTGCAAGCAATATGTGTTATTGACCGGCCTTCCCTGCCAGGGCGCTTCTTTCCTTGCACTGCTCCGGGTTAGCCAAAGGTGGGCTTCGGTAGACTCCCCAAGACCCTTAGTGTTGCCCTCCTGGACCGCGACTAGGACCAGGAAGTTCTCTCTCCCCAGAGGCTGTGCAAACCCCGAAGACCCTCCCACTGCTTGCGGGCCCGGACTGCGCTCCCACCTGAACCTCTCTTGACCCGCGGTATCCCAGATCTGGAGCTTGATGCGTTTTCCCGGCTCGATCTCCACCAAGCGGGAGAAAAAATCCACCCCCACGGTGGGGTCAGAAACCTGGGCAAAGCGACCCTCGGTGAAGCGGCGGATCAGGCAGGACTTGCCCACTGTGGAATCCCCGATGACAATGAGCCGGAACTGGTACAGCCAGATGGCCTCCATGGCCGCGGCTCTGCAGGTCTCCTTGGCTCGGACCCGGGACGGCGGGAGGGGGCGCCCCGCCGACGCCTCAGAGAGCGCGGCTCGGCAGGATCTAGCTCAGCCGCGAGCGCATCGCTGACCTGGGAACCCGAAGCTGGGTAGGCCCAGGCGCCCGGATAGCGGAGGGATGGATGCTGCGCTTGCAAAGGTGATGAAATGGCAGCAGCATCAGCACCACGCACTCTGACTCATCACTGACAACCGGGTTACTGTAATCCCCAGCGTAGACGCGACGCCTGGGCCGCCGCACTGTCTGTAAGAGGAGCGCACACAAAATGGCTGCAAAATTAGCGCGTTCCCTCCCTTTCTAATTACCCCACCCACCCTCTGTTAATTAAAAATGTTTTCTGTCGTTCAAACTGCAAATGTCATACCTTTTCATTGAAACTAGCAAAGCAATACAAAACTACTCAAGAAAGGGAAGGTACATAATTATATATTAGTCTACAAGTGTTTCCATGCTCACGTAAACACACAAATATTATATGTGTTTGTATTCCCATATACATTTATTGCTGTTTGTTTTTACAAAAATTAAACTGAGGTCTTACTTTCAATTAATAATTGCTTTCTGCAGTTAATAAAGCATCATAAATATCTTTCCATTTCCACCTAATTTCCCTTTTGTCATAACAATGCTGCAGTAAAGATTCTTTAAAGTGTAGTCACACGTATTTTATTTCTATGAGCTAGAGTCTTAAAAGAGAGGCCATGAATTCAAAGAGTATGAGTACTTTAAATTTAATGGACATGGCCATTCTACCTTTCAAAACTAGCAGTTTAAACTCTACCCAACAATGTGTGAAAAGGTCATTGCTCTGCATTATTTCAAGCATCATATGTATGTTTTATTCTTTCTTAATTCTTGTCAATAGAATGTAGTTAAATAAAAATATGTCTCATTGCTTTATTTTACATTTCTCTGACTACTGGTGAGCTCAATAACAAGTCTTGTGTATTGACCACTTCATTTCCTCTTCTGGGAATTGTCTCTTCATATCCTTTGTATTTTTTGTGTGTAATCTTTTATCGTTGCCTTACTCTTTAAAAAACTCAGCCTTATTAACATGGAAATTCACATACTGTACAATTCACCCATTTAAAGTGAAAAATTCTTAGCATAGATTTTTAATATACTCACAGATATGTACAACTATCACCACGGTTAATTTTAGAACATTTTTATCACTTCAAAAAATAACCCAGAACTTTTTAGCTATCGTCTCTCTATCCCATGTTCCTCCAGCCTTTGGCAACCATTAATGTACTTTCTGTCTCTATAAATTTCCCTATTCTGAACATTTCATATACGTGGAATCACATAATATGTGCATTTTTGTGACTGGCTGCTTTCACTTAGCATAATGTTTTCAAGGTTCATTCACACTATAGCTAGTATCAGTACTTCATTCCTTTTTGTGGCTGAATACTATTCCATTGTATGGATAGACCACATCTTGTTTATCCATTCATTCATTGAGGGACATTTGGGTTGTTCCCACCTTTTGGCTATTCTAAATAATCCTACCGTTGAACATTCATGTACAAGCTTTTTAAAAAATATCTGTTTTCAGTTTTTTGGGATTTATACCTAAGAGTGGAATTCCTCAGTCCTGTGGCAACTCTATGTCTAACCCTTTGATGAAATGCCTGACTTTTTCACAGTGGCTGTACCATATTACATCCCACTGGCAGCGTATGTGGTTCCAATTTCTCCACATAACACGGATGTGAAGTGGTACCTTATTCTAGTTTGATTTGCATTTCCCTAATGACTGGTGACTTCAAGCATATTTTTACATTCTTATTGGCCATTTGTGTATTTTCCTTGGAAAAATATTCTTAGATCTTTTGCCCATTTTAAAACTGGATTACTAGTCTTTGTATTATTGAGTTGTAAGAGTTCTTTATATATGCTAGATACAAGTCCTTTATCAGATATATGATTTGTAAATATTTTCTCCAATTCGGTGTGTTCTTTTTTTTTTCACTTTCTTGAGGGTGTCCAAACAAAGTTTTAGATTTTTAAGAAGTACAATTTATCGAGTTTCCATTTTGTTGCTCATGCTTCTGGTGTCATGTCTAAGAATACTTTGCCAAATCCAAGGTCATGAAGATTTACTCATGCTTTCTTCTAAGAGTTTTATAGTTTTTGTTCATTCATTTAGGTTTATGATCTATTTTGTGTTTATTTTTATGCATGGTGTGAGGAAGGGGTTCAAATTCATTCCTTTGCATGTGGATATCCAGCTATCCCAGCACTCTATTGAGGATACTATTCTTTCTCTATGGAATGATTTTGACACTCTGGAAAATCAATTGACCATGGACGTATGGATGTATTTTTGGACTTTCTATGTTAATAAAGCTGATTTTTTAAAAAAACAGTAAGGCAGTGATAAAAGATTACACATAAAAAATACAAAGTATGTAAAGAGACAATTCCCAGAAGAGGAAATGAAATGGCCAATACACATTGGTCTATATGTCTCCCTTATGCCAGTATGACACTGTCTTGACTGTTGTAGCTTTGTAGAAAGTTCTGAAATCAGAAAGTGTGAGTCCTCCTACTGTGGAGGATCCAATCTTTTCAAAGATTGTTTTGGTTATTTGGAGCCCTCTGCAATTTCATATGAATTTTAAGAACAGCTTATCAGTTTCTGCAAATAAAGCAGTTGGAATGTTGGTAGGTATTGATTTGACTCTGTAGATCAATTTGGAGAGTATTGCTGTCTTAACAAAATTAAGTGTTTCCATCCATGAGCACAAGATGGATATCATTCCATTTATTTAGGTTTTTAAAAATTGTTTTAACAATGCTTCATAGTGTTCAGTGTATAAGTTTTGTACTTCAAGTGTTTTGTTATTTATGATGCTATTGTGAATGGAATTGTTTTCTTATTTTCATTTTTAGATTGCTCCTTGCAAGTTTATAAAATGCAATTAATTTTTGTATATTGATTTTATATCCTCCAACCTTGCCGAACTTGCTTATTAGTCCTAATAGTTTTTATTTATTTATTTTAAATAGTAAGTTCTGGGATACATGTGCAGAACGTGCAGGTTTGTTGCATAGGTATACACATGCCATGGTGATTTGCTGCACCCATCAACCTGTTATCTACATTAGGTATTTTTTCTAATGCTATCCCTCCCCTACACCCCCACTCCCCAACAGGCCCTGGTGTATGATGTTCCTCTCCCTGTGTCCATGTATTCTCATTGTTCAATTCCACTTATGAATGAGAACATGCGGTGTTTGGTTTTCTGTTCCTGTGTTAGTTTGCTGAGAATGATGGTTTCCAGCTTCATTCATGTCCCTGCAAAGGACATGCACTCAACCTTCTTTATGGCTGCATAGTATTCCATGGTGTATATGTGCCACATTTTCTTTATCCAGTCTATCATTGATGGGCATTTGGGTTGGTTCCAAGTCTTTGTTATTGTGAACAGTGTTGCAATAAACATATGTGTGTATGTGTCTTTATAGTAGAATGATTTATGATTCTTTGGGTATATACCCAGGAATAGGATTGCTGGGTCAAATGGTATTTCTGATTCAAGATCTTTGAGGAATCACCACACTGTCTTCCACAATGGATGAACTAATTTACACACCCACCAACAGTGTAAAAGTGTTCCTATTTCTCCACATCCTCTCTAGTATCTGTTGTTTCCTTTTTTTTTTTTTTTGAGACAGAGTCTTGCTCCATGGGCCAGGCTGAAGTGCAGTGGCATGATCTCAGCTCACTGCAACCTCCATCTCCTGGGCTCAAGCAGTTATCCTGCCTCAGCCTCCCAAGTAGCTGGGATTACAGGCACGTGCCACTGTTTCCTGACTTTTTAATGATTGCCATTCTAACTGGCATGAGAAGGTATCTCATTGTGGTTTTGATTTGCATTTCTCTAATGACCAGTCAGGCTACCATTGATTTTCTTCACAGAATTAGAAAAAACTACCTTAAATTTCACATGGAACCAAAAAAGAGGTTTGACAGTTTTGTTGTTCTTTTCAAAGAACCAACTTTTGGTTTCATTGATTCTATTGTTAATCTATTCCCTTTGTTTCATTTATCTCTGCCCTAATATTTATTATTTCCTTCCTTTTGCTTGATTTTCTTTTAGTTAGCTCATCTTTTTCCAGTTTCTTAAGTTGTAAGGTTGAGTTATTGATTTGAGATTTTTTTTCTTAATACAGGCACTTACAGCTATACATTTCCCTCTGAGCACTGCTTTATCTGAACCCCATAAGTTTTGGTATCTTTCTTGTGTCATTTTCATTTATCTGAAACTATTTTCTGATTTTCCTTTTGATCTCTTCTTTGACCCATTTGTTATTTATGAGTGTTTTGTTTGATTCTCACATATTTGTGAGTTTCTAATATCTTTTCCCTACTATTGATTTCTAGTTTCATTCCATGTGGTCAGAAAACATACTTTGTATTATTTCTATCCTTTAAAATTTCTTGAGATTTGTTTTTTTGGCATAGTGTATCATCTATTCTGGTAATGCTCCATGTGCACTTGAAAAGAATATATCTTCTGCTGTTTTATATATATATAATATTATATATTAATATATGTTATAATATATATAACATATATATTTAATATATTATATATATAACATATATTATATATATATGTTATGTCTAGTTGGTTTATAAAGACTTAGACGTAAGTCTGCTGTTTCCTTGTTGATCTTCAGTATGGTTGTTCTACATATTATTGGAAATGGAGAATGAAGCCTCCAACTATTCTTGTAGAATGATTTTTCACTTTAGCTGTCAGTTATTGCTTCATATATTTTGGAGCTCTATTGTTAGATGCATATGTTTGTAATTGTTGTATCTTTCTGATAGATTGACCCTTTTATCATTATGAAATGTCCTTTTTTAGTAGCTGTTTTTGTTTTGAGGTCTATTTTTTCTGATATTAGTGTAGTCACTTCAGCTTTCTTGTGGTTGGTGATTGCATGATATATATTTTTCCATCATTTTACTTTCAATCACTTTGTATCTTTGAATATAAAGTGTCTGCTGTAGACAGCATATAGTTGTATCATTCGAAACATCTAGCCATATAATCTTTGTCTTTCTTTAAACCGATTGTTTAATCTGTTCACATTTAATGTTATTTATTGATATAGTGGGATTTATGTCAGCCATTTAT